TGAGAATTGAACTCGCAGTAATTGCAGGTATCTGGATGTTAAATGCTGCCTTAGTAGGAGGCATTAGCCTCCTACGCCACTCAGGCTCCTTTTAATGAGAAGTACAAATGATCAGGCTCAAATTATCCAAATTTGGACATATTATGCAAAGACCTAGCACTCCAGAGAAAACTCTATTGCTGTGTGAAAACAGGATGGAAAGAAAAGAAGAGAAGAGAACAACCAGCAGCAAGGTAAGTGGACTTAGATACAGTCAATATGCAGTGGTATTGAGATACAGTCACGATATAGTGGTGACGAGTGCACTATTAGAAGATCTGAAAGACTATGTTAAGGTCAGATTGTCATGGAGGAAGTTTATCTAAGTGGCTACTAAGATTTGATGTACAATCAATCAATCAATCAATCAAATTGGTTCCCCAAATGATGAATGTTAGGATATATGATCCAGCAAATGGGTGAGAGAAGAGCAAATGTTTTACAGTGCCTTTAACAACCTGAAAAAGGCAAAGAAAAAGAAAAACAAACAAGCAAAGAGACAAAAAATGCCCTCTCCTCTTCCATCAATTATTTTAGGATTGGAAGGCAAAAAGGTGATGGGGTTCGGAGTTTATCAATCCTTGAGAAGGATTAAGGCATAATTATATCTATTTAATACAGTGTTATCTGAACAAGAATAATATTTTAATGTTTTAACTCTTCAAAATATTAACTTTTTGCTGCTAATTTTTATTTATTTATTTATTTATTTATTTATTTATTTATTTATTTATTTATTTATTTATTTAATTTGTATACCGCCCTTCTCCCAGAAGGGACTCAGGGCAGAGAACAGCCAAAATTAAAAAAACATACAAATGCAAAAGTTAAGATAACTAAAAAGAATTAAATCACTGGCTACCCAATTTAAAACCCCAAATCCATAAAATTTAAAATCCCAATTAAAAACCATTTAGGCTAGGCCGGCTTGATGAAATAAAAATGTCTTCAGGGCTTTACGGAAGGTCCGGAGGTCCAGGATCAATCGTATTCCAGGAGGCAGCTCATTCCACAGGGCGGGTGCCCCCACAGAGAAGGCTCGCCCCCTGGGGGCTGCCAGCCGACATTGCCTGACTGACGGCACCCCGAGGAGGCCCTCTCTGTGAGAGCGTATTGGCCGGTGGGAGGTTATCGGTAGCAGCAGGCGGTCTCGCAAATACCTAAGCCATGGAGCGCTTTAAAGATGAGAACCAACACCTTAAAGCGCACCCGGAAGACCACCGGGAGCCAATGCAGTTCGCGCAGGAGAGGTGTTACGTGGGAGCACCACGTCGCTCCCATAATCACCTGCGCGGCCGCATTCTGCACCAGCTGGAGCCTCCGGGTGCTCCTCAGGGGGAGCCCCACGTAGAGAGTGTTACAGTAGTCCAGGCGTGATGTAACCAAGGCATGAGTGACTGTGCACAAGGAGTCCCGATCCAGAAAGGGGTGCAACTGGCGTATCAGGCGAACCTGATAAAAAGCCCCCCTGGCCACGGCCGTCATATGCTCTTCTAAAGACAGCCGTGTGTCCAAGAGGACGCCCAAGTTGCGAGCCCCCTCTGTGGGGGTCAGTGACTCATCCCCAATAGCCAGCGATGGCACCAGCTGGCTATACCGGGATGCCGGCATCCACAGCCACTCGGTCTTGGAAGGGTTGAGTCGAAGCCTGTTCCTCCCCATCCAGACCCGCACGGCCTCCAGACACTGGGACATCACTTCGAGGGCATCATTGGGGTAGTCTGGGGTGGAAATGTACAGCTGAGTGTCATCAGCGTACAGATGGCATCGCACCCCAAAACCACGGATGATCTCACCCAGCGGCTTCACATAAATGTTGAACAGGAGCGGTGAGAGGACCGATCCTTGCGGCACCCCGCAAGCAAGGCGCCTCGAGGTTGACCTCTGCCCCCTTGCCAACACAGACTGCGACCGGTCAGAGAGATAGGAGGAGAACCACCGCAGCACGGTGCCTCCCACTCCCAATCCCTCCAGCCGGCGCAGCATGATACCATGGTCGATGGTATCAAAAGCCACTGAGAGGTCTAACAGGACCAGAACAGAGGAACAACCCCTGTCCCGAGCCCTCCAGAGATCATCCACCAAATGCGACCAATGCCGTCTCCGTGCTGTACCCAAGCCTGAAGCCGGACTGGCACAGATCTAGATAGACGGTTTCATCCAGGAACTGTGGGAGCTGTCACGCAACCACACTCTCCACAACCTTTGCAACAAAGTGAAGGTTGGAGACCGGACGGTAGTTTGCCAAAACAGCCGGGTCCAGAGAAGGCTTCTTGAGGAGGGGCCTCACCACCGCCTCTTTCAAGGCGGGAGGCAAGAAACCCTCTCTCAGAGAAGCATTTATAATCCTCTGGAGCCAGCCTCGTGTTACCTCCCGAGTGGCCAGTACCAGCCAGGAGGGGCACGGGTCCAATAAACATGTGGTTGCGTTTAACCTCCCCAGGATCCTGTCCACATCCTCAGGAGTCACAGGGTCGAACTCATCCCAGGTAACATTCTCAAGACCAGCCTCAGTCACCCCGCCAGGATCTACCCAGTCAGAGTCCAAGCCTTCCCGAATCTGAGCGATTTTATCATGCAGATACTGTGCAAAATGCTCAGCCTGCCGTTGCAAGGGGTCTTCCCGTGCTCCCTGATGTAGGAGGGAGCGAGTCACCCTAAACAAGGCGGCTGGGCGGTTATCTGCCGATGCAATAAGAGCGGAAAAGTGGTTACGCTTTGCCGCTTTTATCGCCACTAGATAGGTCTTAATATGAGACCTAACTAGTGTTCGGTCAGATTCGGACCGACTAGCCCTCCAACCACTCTCTAGGCGTCTTTTCCGGCGCTTCATCTCCCTCAGCTCCTTGGAAAACCAAGGGGCCGGGCAGGTTCGGTGTCGGGTCAGAGGCCGCAAAGGCACGACTCGGTCCAGAGCACCGGCGGCCACCAGATCTTCAGCCGAGTCGTGAGCCAGAGTTTCAGGAACTGGCCCAAGCTCCCTCTGGAACCTATCAGGATCCATCAGGCGCCTGGGGCGGAACCACCTGGTCGGTTTTGCCTCCCTGCAGTGGGGTGCAGCGGTCAAAAGGTCCAGTCTCAGGAGAGAATGGTCCGACCATGACAGGGGTTCAATAACTATATCCCCTATATCCAGACCACTCAGCCACTGACCAGAGATAAAAACCAAGTCCAGAGTGTGTCCTCCCACGTGAGTGGGGCCATGAATTAATTGTGTCAGGTCCATGGCTGTCATGGAAGCCATAAACTCCTGAGCCATCCCAGACGCCTCACCGGTAGACGGCAGGTTGAAATCCCCCATGACCAAAAGTCTGGGGGTATCAACCGCCACCCCAGCAATAACGTTGAGAAGCTCAGGCAGGGCCGCTGTCACGTGGCAGGGAGCCAGGTACGTGATCAGCAGGCCCACCTGCATCCCATGGCCCCACTTCACCAGGAGAGACTCACATCCGGCTATCTGAGGTACAGTGGCCTCCCTCGGATCAAGACCTTCCTTTATAACGACCGCCACCCCCCCACCCCTGCCCTGGGCCCTTGGCTGATGGAATGCGTGGAAACCTGGTGGGCACATCTCTACAAGGGGGACCCCCCCTCTTGGCCCAGCCAGGTCTCTGTAATACCTGCCAGGTCCGCACCCCCCTCCTGTATTAGCTCACAAATGAGGGGGGCCTTATTAACCACAGACCTGGCATTGCACAGCATCAGTCTAAGGCCTGGGCTCTGAGACTCTGGACAGCCAGGGAGACGAGAAGAGTCATGGGGGCCGAGGCATGCCACCACTTGGAGATAGCGGGTGCGTGCCCCCACCACCTGATGTGGCCCCCTACTCCCGCCATATCTACCCCTCCCAACCACAGTCCTGATAGAATTGCCCTCCACCCTATCCACACTGAGCTCCTCCACACCCCGCTCCCCGCCTTCCGTTCCATGCCCCTGTAACGAGCCTGACCTATGCCCCTCCCTCCCCACCTCCCACCCTAAACCCCTTAAAAGATTACAATAAGACAATTTTAAAAAACCCCACAACCCCCTCTTTGCGGCATGCCACCTCTCGGGGTTCCAAAGCCCGTCATCGAGGTAGGCCCTCGATAGAATGGAGGGCCAAGCCTGCGAGAGGGGGGAGTCTCGCAGACCAAGAAGCTCCACTGTGGAATACATCTTGACCACAGAGGATGGGAGCAACCATATCCTAGGGGTCCATATAGAAGGTCCAGGGGAGAGACATGGAATGGGAGTCTCAAGAGCATTTTCAACAAGACCAGGTCCACTGTCCCCTCACAACAGAGGACGAAGTCAGGTTCCAGGTCGACCACAGTCCAAGGGGGGGGGATAGACCCAATCACCCTCTCACGGTGGTCCAATCAACCAGTCGACCCCCTCTTGTGGTGAGATGGCAGCGATGAACCAATGCAGACAGCACAGCATCCGGGGCTCAGGTCCAAAAACCGCCCTCTCACGGCGGTTGGTCCGATGGTCAGGTCCCTCTGCTGGCAGATGCAAGAAATTCAATATCATCCCAGTTCAGCCCCCAGGGGCCTTTAACCTTTAACTTTATTGAAATCAGTTCAGAAGTAGAAGGCATTAGTAACAATATTCTCATTTGAGTGCTTCTAATTTTGGGAGAGATGGCATCTGTGCAAAACTGAACATTACAATGTTACATCTAACACAAATATTACTACTACAAATATTCGCTAAATATATAATAATTCTGATTTGCATTATTTATAATTCATTAAATATATATTTATTAATTGTACCTATAATACTCAATGCAGCATCAACTGAATAAACTGAAGCAAAACAGACATCGAAGTCTGAAACAAATCCAACATCTAACAAATAATTGATAATGATAAATCAATCTTATTTGCTTGAATTATATTTATAACAGTATCAACAAAATGGAAACAAATATTAGAGCTTGATCTTAATTTATGAAGAAAATGAATAAAACTCACCATGCCCTTTCCAGAATCAAAAATGTTACCTTCACTGACCATAACAGAGGTATCAGGTTTATCCTCGCAAAGAATATTCTCCACTATTTGGACATTGGGTTGCAGAAAAGTCAGTTCATTTCTCCTGGACTCAGTGGATAAACAGATCTGATAAGAATAAGGCAAAGTCCCATCTTCATAATTTGGAAGAAATACAGTTCCAGTCTTTGAATGAGAATCAGGAATGAGGCACTGAAAAAAAGTGGGGTTCCTCAACCCTTGAAGTTTCATAAAAATGGCCAAAATCACTGCCACCAGGAACAGAAAGGATACCAAAGTCAAAGTCAGAACCAAGTAAAACTGGAGCTTGGACTGATCCTCTGAGTTATTAGGTTGGGCATTCATTTCAGGAAGAGCCTCCTGGAAGTTCTGAGCAAAGACCATGTTGAGACTAGTGGTGGCCGAGAGAGGTGGCTGTCCGTTATCCCTCACCATGATGACCAGCCTCTGTTTGGTAATGTCTCTCTCAAGTACTGCTCGAGCTGTTTGGATCTCTCCCGTGTGGGAGCCGATGATGAAGAGTGAGGGCTCTGTGGCCTGCAGGAGATGAAAAGAGAGCCAGGCATTGTGCCCAGAGTCAGCATCCACAGCCACGACTTTTGTCACCAAATAACCCAAATCGGCTGAGCGAGGTACCATCTCAAACAACGATGAACCCTGAGTTGTTTGGGAAGGGTACAGGATCTGGGGAGTATTATCATTCTGATCCAGTACAAGCACTTTGACTGTGGCACTGTTATTGAGAGATGGAGAGCCTTCATCCTGGGCTTGAACTTGCAGCTGGAAATCTCTGAGCTGCTCATAGTCAAAAGATTGTTGAGCGTAGAGAGTTCCAGTCTCAGAGTTAATTGAAACATAGGAGGAGAGAGGCAGGTCCTTGACATTGCTGTTAAGAATGGAATAGGTGATTTGGGCATTACGATCCAGATCTGGGTCAAAAGCCTTAACCTGGAAAATAGACATTCCAGATGGGTTGTTCTCAGGAATGTAGGCAACATAGGAAAGTTTTTCAAATGCTGGAGGGTTATCATTGCTATCTGAAATTGGTACTGAGATGGTTTTGTCTGTGGAAAGAGGAGGTATGCCTTGGTCTGTGGCTGTAATTGTTAAGTTATACACTGGTGTTTTTTCTCTGTCAAGGGGGCCATCTGTGAGGAGTTTGAAGTAGTAATCTGATGATGAGACCACCTGGAAAGGTACAGTTTCCCTTAGGTAACAGGTGACTTCTCCATTAAGTCCAGAATCTCTGTCATGGACTTTGATGAGGGCAACCACTGCTCCAGGTAGAATATCTTCAAGAATGGGGCTGGATAGAGATGTAATAATTACTTCTGGAGGATTGTCATTCTCATCAAGAACCTCAATCTCTACATTGCAATGTGCAACTAGTCCACCTCCATCATTTGCCCGTATTATCATCACATAGCTTCCTCTGTCTTCAAAATCAATGCTTTCCTTAAGTGAAATTGTTCCATCAGTGGGATCCAGAATAAATTTCTGATTCACATTTTCTGGATTTTCCCAGAAAATATAAGATATCTCAGCATTTGACCCTTCATCACTATCAGAGGCTTTTACTTGAAGCACAGAAGTCCCTCTAGGTGTATTCTCTTTCAGACTTGTTTTGTAAGTTGCCTGGGAGAAGACTGGTGGATTGTCATTTATATCAATAACATTGATTTCTATGTTAAGAGTCCCAGTTTTCACTGGCTGTCCTCCATCTGAAGCTGTAAGAATCAAGTGGTGTGTGTGCTCTTTCTCCCTGTCCAATGGCTTTTGCAAAATTAATTCTGCATATTTGCCACCATCTTTGCTCTCTTGAACCTCTAGCTTGAAATATGGGGTTGAGCTCAAATGATAATCTTGAAGGGCGTTGATTCCAATGTCCTCGTCTTCAGCATTTCCTAGAGCAAATCGAGCTTCTGGCAAATGAGACTCACTCAAATTGAGACTGATATTTTTCTTTCGGAAATATGGGGCATTATCATTAATATCTAGGATGAAAACTTTTATGTGGAAAATATTTAAAGGATTATGTGCAACAACTTCTAACTGCAGCATACAAATAGGTGAGTTTCCACAGATTTTTTCCCGGTCTATTCTGTCATTCACATATAGATCACCACTTTGCTCATTGAAAGCAAAATATTGTTTTTCTGAAGAGACAGCAAGTTTGCATTTTGGTAATTGTTCAATATCCAGCTCTAAATCTTTAGCAAGGTTCCCCACAAAGGAATTCTTTTCCTTTTCCTCTGAAAGTGAGTACTGAACCTGCTCAGGTATCACCCAATTGACCAAATCCCAGAATATGAACAGAAAAAGTACTTGCCTCAAATTGAACTCCTTTATTCCATTTATGTAGCTTGCTTCCATTACTGTCATTGTCTTTCTTGTTTGTTTTTCCTTCTTAGTGTAATAGCTTCCAATTTCACACTATTTAGCAATTATATTGGAGAAAAGAATAGTCTTAATGAGTTGATTCATGAGGGAAAATGTTTTTTTCCGGAACACCTTTTAGAATAAAGCTTTCTGCTGCATCTTTTCTAGTCAACTGGCGGGATACAGCTGCAGAAGAATAGAGGGCTGATCCAAGGATCCTCTTGTCCTATAGTGACACTCTGAGTCTATACTGTGAACTGCATTTCCTGATAAAGTTTTATTTTAATTCCATGTGATTTTTTTTGCTACAAAAACATAGAATATTATTCAAGCTGTAACTAATTTAATGATTTGCCAGTGGCATTGTAACATCAAAGCTGAACAAACGGAATACATTTTTTGACATTATTTTAATTTTCTGGCCAATGGAACTGGGGTACCTAATTCCTTTTCATCAAATGAAACAGTCACAATCTAGATTTCATTTTCTTAATTCTTGAAGGGTAGAAGATGGGGAGAACATCAAAATAGTCAAGTGAGTAGAGGATTTATTATTCTCAATAAGCAACAATATGCACTTGAAAGTCAAAGCCCACAATTAATAAATCAGCAGTGGGGATATAGATTATTGTATAAACAAATAAACCATCTAGATGACTGTAAATTTATAATTCTTACTAATAAATCTACATCTACTATTTAATCCCAACAATAAATTCCATTATTTATTTCTTATTCAGTTTCCATAGCATTTGTGCTCCAGAAACTTTTGTACAATGTGTGAGTTAGAGGGAATATACTGAATTTCAGCATTCATCTTAAACCTATGTTCTTTGAAATAAATTCTCCTGACTTAATTGAAGTCATTGCATAGTAATTAGTCCTTTTAGTTCAATCAAGCTTTTGCCAACCAAAATCCATGGAACATATCTTCCAAAGAAATTTGTTTTTAAGCAAACAAGTGAAAATGTTAAAGTAAATATTTTATATAAGCAGAACAAAATAAAACTGTAATCTATTTCTTTAAAAAGTATAGTTGCTTGCTTTTGAATTAGTAGAGGCACATCCAAAAATAGGTATCAGTGGGAGGAAGCTGAGCAAACAGAGATATTCCCCTGGCCTGGAAATAAGGAGATATTGTTTATCCAAGTTCTGATTGATCAATTAATTAAGTAGGAAGTCAGTGAGAGGGAAGAGAACAAAGGCAAAATGCACATATACAAAATCTCAGCCTGCCAATTCCTACACAGTTCTCAAAGTAGTGATTACCTCAAACTGGAGGGCCCTGGAGAGGCTCTTTTCTATTGCAAGTATAACAATGTTATTTACAGTAGATGTTCCTAATGTGTCCATACTAATTTGATGTAGACACAAAAGTAGTCATAACGTGGTTTGCTGGAGGCATGGGGAGGCAGTAGTACATAAAGGCACTTATTTATTCCAGTAGATTAAACCCTTGGTTCCAGTAGGTTAAACCCATACTTTTACAAAACCTTTGAAAATAGTCTCAGCTGTTTCAGATCCATCCATATCATTATTTTAGTGGCTTGCAAACATACTGAAATTCTCCGAGTCAAGAAAGTAATGTAATTTTAAACTGAGTGCACTGATACAATCTATATGGGCTTCATCTATAAATCATATACATTTACTACCTAGTTTAATGTAAAAATATGATTAGTTTTTTGGGAGGAAAATAGGGGGGGGGAATCTGCCTATCTGGCTAGCATTCTTAGTCTGGTCAGCTTCAGCATATTAGTTTGCTGGTTTTATCCCCTGCTTGGGGATAAAAACCAGCTTCTAAAGCACAGCTGAGAGGGAGCAGCAATGAGAAAAGCAGACAAAGTACAGAGATCCCTTCACTTGCTAGCACCTCATTAGGGCTGAAAAAAAGCTTCTAAAACACAGCTGAGAGTCGGAGGGAGCAGGCAAAGTGCAGGAAAGATTGCTTCACTTGCTCGTTAGGGCCGGAAAAAAGCTTTGAAAAAGCTACATTCAAAGTATAAAACGGACCCAAATTTTCAGTCTCTTTTTTGGGGGGGGTGCGTCTTATACTCCAAAAAATACGGTAAATCAATTCCTGAGGAATTTCATATGACCAATATAATAGAAAATGGTAAACAAACAAATTTTTACAAGGAATACAAAATCAGGCATTTAAAATACTTAGTATTAAGCTTCATTAGAGAAAACAGATTGATGGGAAATCACTGTTGAGATAAATAAGGGCTTACAGGATCAACAAAATACACCATTTCTCTGAAATATTAAACTCACCTTGACTAAGATTTGCTCATCATTCTTCAAACTTAAATCCCCACAGGCTAGGATAGGGTCACTCACCCCACAGGTTAGAGGTTGATTGGTCAGAGTATTTGAACAGTTTTCCTCATGAAAATTGCAGTGGCTTTTTCTAGAATCTCTGGTGAGTGAAATAGTGTGGCAGTAAGACTGAAGAAAGGCTCGGACTCCATCCATCCCAACAAATTGCGACACGGGGACACCACTAAAATGTACACTTTCTGACTCTAACAATTTCAAATTCTTCCACCTGTACAATCTGATGGCCAATAAGACAAGGAGAAATGTAAAAAACAAGCAGGAGACAAACACCACACCAATCACCAGATAAAATGTGAGGTCTGACTGAGGATCTACAGGAGCTGAGATGTTGCTCAGATCTGAGAGAATTTCAGGGATGTTGTCAGCCAGAACAACCGTGAGAGTGACTGAGGCAGAGAGAGGTGGTTGGCCGTTGTCCTTCACTAAAACCACCAGGATTTGCTTCAGGGCATCTTTCTCCAGAAAAAGCCGAGCAGTCCTGATCTCGCCAGTGTGGAGTCCCATAGTGAAGAGCCCTGGTTCTGTTGCTTTGATCAGCTGATAGGAGAGCCAGGAATTCTGACCAGAATCTGCATCTATTGCCACCACTTTAGTGACCAGGTAACCTGGCTCAGAAGAGCGAGGGGCCAGCTCTATTCTAGTGGAGCCATCAGCAGGAGGGGAGGGGTACAGGATCTCTGGCACATTGTCATTCTGGTCCAAGATGAAGAGAGTCACTGAGACATTAGAGCTGAGTGATGGGGATCCGCCATCCTGAGCCTTGACCTGGAACTGAATCTCTTGAATCTCCTCATAGTCCAAGGAGCTTAGGGCATAGACGGTCCCCGTCTCAGAATTAATGGAGAGGTAGGAGGAGAGGGGTGAGTCCCGCATTTGGCTATCAATGATGGAGTAAGTTATTCTGGCATTTTCTTCCCAGTCTGGATCACTTGCTTTAAGGGAAAAGGCTGAGGCACCTTTTGGATTATTTTCTAGAAGGTAGGAGGTATATTTTGATTCCAAAAACTGTGGAGGGTTGTCATTTGTGTCTAACACCTGGAGTGAAATAACCACAGATGTAGAGAGTGGTGGTGCCCCGTTATCCACTGCTGTAACAGTGATAGAGTAAGTTGGCAATTGTTCCCTGTCAAGGGCTTTGTCTGTCTCTAAACTGTAGAAACTCTCCATTGTTTTCTTGAGCCAAAAAGGGAGGTTGCTGGGAATTGAGCATTTAACCTCTCCATTGTCTCCTGAATCTCTGTCTTGGACATTTAAAATGGCAATGACAGTTCCAGCTAGAGAGTTCTCAGGCACCGAGTTGATCACAAAGGTCATGGCTAACTCAGGTGCATTATCATTTAGGTCTGTAACCAAAATCACAACCTTTGTCCTATCACTCAGCCCACCCCCATCCATGGCTTGCACTTCAAATTCATATGTTGATGATGTTTCAAAATCAAGGCTCCCCACAAGGATAATTTCCCCTGAAGTCGAATTTAACAGAAACATTTTTTTATTCTTGTTTATTTCCTCAAAAGAATATTTTACTTCTCCATTGATTCCTTCATCCATATCAATAGCTGTTATGGTTGCTATTGTGGATCCTTTGGATAGGTTCTCTTTAAGATTCACTTCATAGAGGTGTTGGCTGAAAACCGGTACATTATCATTTGCATCTAGAACAATGATATGAATCTGTACTGTGCCAGACCTAATGGGATCACCACCATCAAAAGCTGTAAGGATCAAATCATAAACTGATTGCTCTTCCCTGTCCAGTGATTTTTCCAACACCAGTTTAGTAGATTTGGTGCCAGTTTCGCCTCTTTGCATCTCCAGAGAAAAATGGTTACTACCTGTGAGTTGGTAGTTTTGCACAGAATTCATCCCCAGGTCTGGATCTTGAGCTTTTGCTAGAGGAAATTGTTCTTTTAATGCTGACATCTCACTGATTTTCATTGTCCATTCCTTTGAGAGAAATTGAGGAGCATTGTCATTTATATCTGTGATTTCTACTTCAATTCCATAAAGTTTTAGTTTACTTTCAATAAGGATCTGGAATTTTATTATGCATTTTTCTGTCTCTTTGCATATTTTCTCTCTGTCTATTAATTGGGAAATTTCTAAATGTCCACGGTTGATATTCAGAATAAAATATTGAATTGTACCTGTATTAATGACGACACGAAGTCCATGTTCTAAAAGTTGTTTCCCATCCATTCCCAGATCCTTTGCAATGTTTCCCACAAAAGTACCTTTTGGCATCTCTTCAGGAATGGAATAATGGATCTGCCCAGAAACTGCTTCCCAAACAATCATCACAATAAAGTATTGCAGAATTCTCTGATCATAATTCCATATTCTCTTAGTTTTCTTCATTGTTTTACTATAATATAAATAGCATCCACTCAGGATTAAAAGCTCTTTTGATAGTACTTACTGACTGCTGAGGTTCTCTTGTGCTGTCTCAAGTTCCAGTTGAAAATATATTGTATCCAGGTTTGGAAGCAAAATATGCTTCTGTTTCACTGTCGCCTGATCTCTGAATTGGTGTGCTTTAATGTATTGACAAAGCTGGAGTGGCTCATTCTTACGTTTTTGTTCCTTAGTGGTATATAGCGACACCCAGAGGCTCAATCCAAAACTGCAGAATATCCTTGGTCATAGAAATTATATACAGTATTTGCCACTATTTGTTTAAAAATATCTATAGTTTTTTTATTTTAAAAAATAATACAAACAGGACAGTTACAGTTCACAAGAAAACAAATAAATTTTAAAAGAAACAGTAAAGCAGTTTAAAACCAGCAATAATGCATACAAGGGAGCCAATGGCTAATCAAATTCAGAGAGGAATAATGCCCACAAGGAAAAAAAGTGTCCTCATCACATAGCAATTAGTTCATAGCAATTAAGAAACTATTACCAGATTTTTCATGCCAAAGAAAAGACAAGAGCTAAGATAAAGTTTTGACCATGGGAAAATCATAAGCTTGTGATAGTAACAATCAATCATTTTGCATGAGACTTTCCTTGAAGACAATTCTATGATTTCAGCTAGTACAGAATGCTGTGTTGGCTATTTTTTCATGGATGCGGTCAATGTTTTATTGCACCCATTCTTGGTGATTTGCACTGAGTGCCTATTGCAAACCTATTTCATAGTATTGGTATAGATTTACAATCAAAGACTCCCAAGAGCTAAGTTCAAATCCTCTGACTACATATACGTGTCTGACTTGTTTTCTTGGCAATAATGCAGAAGGGCTTTCTTCTTCCAGAATATCATCTTGCCAGACTAAGATACAGTCTTGAGATTTCCTGATAAACTGAAACCCTAAATAATGTCTCCTCAAATATTATTGAAATGTATTTCTTGTTATCTATTGGCCTTGAGGTTTGTGGTGGTAGCAGTAGCAATAAAAATGTTGATGATGACGACAACAACAACAACAACAATGATGATGATGATGACTAACAGTGTCTGGAGACAGCAGAATAGAAGAGAAAGAACTGGAGAAGATAACAAAATACAAAGACCTACAAATAGAAATAGAATGACTATGGCAAAGGCAAGCAAGGATAGTACCAATAGTAATAGGTGCCTTAGGTGCAATCCCAAAACAACTGGCGCACCACTTGAACATCATTGGGATTGACAAATTTGCCATCAGCCAATTACAAAAGGCAGTTTACTGGGAACAGCTTCCATCCTGCGATGCTATCTGTAATGCCATCAAACATCCACATCTGCCTGTCCCAGGTCCTTGTAAGGACTTGATAGGTAGACAAAAATGCTAAACCCAGTCTGAGCATCTGGCTGACTGTGAATAATAATAACAACAACAACAACAACAACAACAACAACATGATTGAGTTGCTAAATTAATTCACTGGTCATTATGTGAAAAATACGCCCTACCTGTATCTGAAAAGACATGGGAACATAAAGTGGAAAAAGTTGTTGAAACTGAGATGGTGAAGATCTTGTGGGACTTTCAAATACAGACAGATCATCATTTGGAACACAACACACTAGATATCACTGTTATTGAGGGCCAAAGCGTACAGTTTATTGATATCACTGTACTAGGAGATGCCAGAGTCGAAGAAAAAGAACTGGAAAAAATCATGAAATATCACAACCTGGCCATCGAAACTACACGGTTATGGATGAAACATGTAATAGTGATACCCATTGTCATCAGGGCACTTGGTACCATGTCCAAGAATTTTACAAAACACATCAAGAAATTGCAGCTTCCTGCAATAACACCAGCAGAACTGCAAAAAAACTAAATTACTCGGAACATCATATATTTTAAGAAGATACTTGATTGATACCTAGGACGCTGGCAGCAACCCGTAGCAGCCATTAGCACCAGTCAATGGTATTTGTGACATATTTTTAAATGTCCAGTTGACTGAGTTTCATGTTTAATGAATAAAAGAGATAATAATAATCTCCCAGTGAGGCACTACCTTGACGTGGTTGTGGGGTTTGTGTGCTCTGAGGAAGATGTGAGCTATGTCAGAGGTTCAACCATACCAGACAGGTCTCATCAGAGGAATCAGGCAAAGAGTGTCTCTTCCATAAAAATTATAGTGAGACGTAAATTTCAGAAAGCCATATTGGCTTGGATGTTGCCTGGGTTAATAAGGTCCGTGCTAGATGTGGGAGTTTCTGGATAGCTGGTGAAAAATGGACTATAGGACTCAGAACCATTGGCTGAGCAATCAGGGCCAGAAACTGTAGAACTACTGGAAGAAAAGGTGTTTACCTGTCACAAATATACAGTAATTGAAAACAAAGAAATAATGATCTGTTATTACAGAGCAAGCCCAACAAGAAAAGGATATTTGAAATGAATGCACCAGTTCTGGAAAGAACAACATCCAGAATCAGAAATAACAGAACAGAGGCCAGCAGATCAACGTTGATTTATAATATGAAATAAAATATTCATAGAAGCAGAATTGGAAAAGCTGCAAAGGTTCACCCAGGGCAAAGAAAGCAAAGCCTTGCCAGAAGTAATTCAAAATGCAGAGGCAAACCAGGGAGAGTTGGTAATAGAGGAATCCAACAGAGATATACAATTGTTTTCATTTAAAAACTCCTCTGCCTCAGAAAGAACAAAACCTTGTAGGACTGAAACAAAGAATAACTGAGCATCTAGAGCAGCACAAAAACATCAGAATAAGGCTGCATGCATTGAAGCTTGTTCCAAAGAAACAGCTAGCACAAGTGTTAAAAGATGCAAATACTGCAATATCAACTTTAAGTACCAACTCACTGCAAGAAACAAATCAACTAATGTACAGCACAGCTGCAGTTATAACTGAATACCTGGGATGCAAAATCAATAGAGGAAAAAAAAACAGTGCACCAAAAATGAAAGATTAGATTGGAAAATAAGATTAGCAAATTGAGATCAGATGCAAGCAAGCTAGAACAGATGAAAGAAAATAAGCTGAATAACAAGAAGATCAAGGAATACCTAATCAAGAAATATCACTTAGAAACAAGGAAGATCAAATAATAAAGCAGCAAATAACAGCTATAGTCAAGAAGATTAGCAGATACAAACCTCAAATTGCAAATTATAGGCAGAACCTCCAATTTCAATCCAATCAGAAAACTTTCTACCAATCCATCAATGGAAAAACTGAAGTGAATCAGTCAGTATCTGACAAGGAAGAAACAGTTTTTGGGTGCAGATATGGGATAACCCAAAGAAATACAACAAGAATGCAGCTTGATTAAAAGAGGTGGATAAGAATAAAAAAGAAGTTGAAATGAAAGAACTAGTAATAACAGCAGAAATGGTAGAGAAAAGAGCAAGGAAGATCAAGAATTGGTTAGCACCAGGTGAAGATGATCTGCATGGTTTTTGGTTGAAACATTTAACTGGTTTATACCCACTTGTTGCCAAGCAGTTTTAACAACATACTACAAGGAGGTGAAATTGAGGAGTGGCTAACATCTGGCAAAACCTACCTGATAATGAAAGATCCAGCAAAAGGGGCAGAACTAGGCAACTACAGGCCAATTACCTGCTTACCAACAACTTTCAAATTGTTAACTGGTGTGGTAGCTGATGCAGTCCAACAGCATCTAGTTGAAAACAATCTCTTTCCATCTGAACAGAAAGGAAACTGCCCCTATAGTAGAGAAACAAAAGATCAACTTCTAATTGACAAAATGATTTTGGAAAGCTGCAAGATATGAAAGATCAACCTGAATGTAGCATGGATTGACTACAAAAAGGCATTCAACTCTCTGCCACATGACTGAATAATCAAGTGCCTAGAAATAACAGGAGTCAGTAGAAACATCATAAGCTTTGTGCAAAGATCGATGGCACAATGGAAGACACAGTTACAGGTCAATGATGAGAGACTGGGAGAAGTTAATATCAAGAGAGGAATATTTCAAGGAGATTCACTATCACCACTACTATTTGTCATTGCACAAATAGTGCAATAATATTGCAATAATAATATCAACAATACTGAATAACTCAGGCCATGGCTATCAAACATCAAAAACATCTGCCAGACTATCCCACCTCCTTTACACGGACGATCTAAAGCTGTATGGAAAAATACCATCTGAAATAGAATCGCTGTCAACACTGTTCATATATATAGCCAAGATATTGCAATGGAGTTTGGACTGGACAAACATGCCACACTCACTATCAAACTAGAAAAAATAATGAAAACTGAAGGAATCAAGGTGCCCCATTAAAATAACATTAAGAGTCTGGATGAAGATGATTACTACAGATTCCTGGGTATCCTTCAAGCTGACAACATCAAGCATACTGAAGTCAAGAAAAAGATTAGAAGTGAATACATCAAGAGAGTGAAAAAGATCTTAAAGTGCAAACTCAATGGAGGAAATACCATCAAAACAATTAACACCTGGGCAATACCAGTCATTAGATACACAGCAGGAATAGTGGACTCAAGCAGAATTAAAAGCAATGGATAGGAAGACTAGAAAAATAATGACAATGAGTCATGCTCAAGAACAAGCTCTACAAATGAATGTCATGAAAGCGAAGATACAGGACTCCTCCTTTGGCTTCCTGGTGTTATATTGGTTCCTCTTCTTGACTTACGGTCTCTATCTCCTCCTTACTACTCTGATCCTCTTCATTTCCCATCAGTTGGTCAAAAATGTCCTGTGCCGTCACTAAGCTATCAATTTTAACCTTCTTGCCTTGCCATGAAACAAGCATTTCTTCCAGGAGTATCCACCTAAACAAGATGTTCGTTTGTTCAATTGTAGGGCCAAGAAATGATAGTCCTTACATTGTTCTTGAACCCTTCTAGGGATTTGCTTTGATGTAATAATTTCCTTCTCCTTGTAGCTCATTGGTTCCTCTCAGGTGATATTATAAACTATATCCCAGATTTTCTTT